AAAAAAAAAAAAGAAGATATTTTCCTTACCCGAGAGTCCACCATTGATTACTTCCCGAAGGAAGGATGGATCGCCCCTCACCCCTCTGCCTGCCTTAGCCCGATGATATATTTTTTATCCTGGGATACTAAACTGACTTCCACTCTTAAAAAAAAAAAAGAAAAAAAAAAAGAAAACTGACTTCCACTCTATCTGTTGGCCTACATGTGATTGCGGTTTGGCTTTTCTGAGAGCACGAATACGGTCTACGGATGAGTTATTCGTTACTCGTTACCTTTTTTTTTTTTTTTTAAATGAAAGGGCCCAGTGCCCTCATTACCTTGCGTGCGTACTTGCGTCCATAACGCTACTGTTCTTTTTTGCTGCTGGCAGGCAAAACCGTGGCTTACATCTGCTCAGGTAGAGAATATCATGGATCCTTCATTGGGCTGCCAATACTCGATTGCAAGCGTCCGACTGATGGCCAAGTTGGCCAAGCATTGTCTGGAGGACCTGGGCCCTCGCCGTCCCATCATGAAGGAGGTATCAACCACTATAGAAAAGGCCCTTGCTGCTCACGACACTTCTGAATTGGGCACATCTTGTCCCTGCATGCCCTGGAAAGGTTGATCAACTTGATCTGCTTAAGGAGGAAAACGACAAACGGAGCGCCAGCACTACTCCTCCTGGGTCAGGTAACCCACTAGAAAAGTGGAGAGGGGGGCTTTTTTGGGGGGGCGAGGGGGAGGGGGAGAGGGGGAGGGATTGAGCAATTCCATGACGCAAGAGTGTGAGCAACTGCAGCTTGCATTGCACCACCATGGATGGGTAAAGAGGCAGAGGAGCACACATAGTTTTTTTTTTCCCTTTTGGGTCATTCAGCTTCTAGCATGGAATGGCGCATGCCGAGGAATGAGCAGCCAGCTTGGGAAGGGGAATATGAGATGTGCGCAAAAGCAAAAGTGAAAACGGCAATGACACCGCCGTCATGTCAGTTGTGGCGATTGCTAAAGTGGGTGAGCCAGAGAAAAAAAAGTTTGCACGCATGCCGAAGGGCAACAGCTCATGGCTGCTGCAGAGTCGTCGTCATGTTGTGTATGCATCTTGTGGAATATCTGTTGGAGGCGGAATGCGGTCAAGATCAGCGAGGCTGTTCGAATCGAGAGGGCGACGAGGGTATCGTTGTACGTTGACATCAACATCAATGACATGGTGTGGATGGTTCTGACTGTGCGTATATAGTGGAGCCAGTTGCAGGGGTGCCAATGATGTCAGTGGAGCGGCCGACGAGGACACGAAGGCCGAAATGTGCAGTGGAGCGGCCGACGAGGACACGAAGGCCGAAATGTGCAGTGGAGCGGCCGACGAGGACAGGAAGGCCGAAATGTGCAGGTGGATATCGTTGCGCGTTGACGGCATGATGGTGTGGATTGTTCGCACTGCGGCGTCTATAGTGGAGCCAGTTGCAGCCTGAGGGGTGCCGATGATGTCAGTGGAGCGGATGGCGAGGAGATGATGCATTCGTGCGAATCTTTTCTGAGCCATTACTGCACAAGGTTGCCATCATGGTGAGGGGTCTTATAGGTTGGTTGTGCGTGTGTGTTTGTTGAGGAAGAACTGATGGGAAGAAAGAGAGATACAGCAGCCAAGCAGTGAAAAGAGGTCGGTCGATCATGCATGGGTTATGGGGTCGTCATAATTTATTCTTGACCTGTTTATTTACCTGTGTTTTCCTCTTTTTTTTTTTTTTTTTTTTTTTTTTCTTCCATACAGGCTGCATTGTGCATTGCCAGGGTTTCAGGTAGAAAGGCGAGTAAACGGCGTTGATCAGCAGATTCAGCAGGTCCTTTTCGTGATGGACCAGAGTTCGAACCAGGACCAGAGTTTGAACCAGGACCAGAGTTGGAATCAGGGACCAGAGTTGGAACCAGGGACCAGAGTTGGAACCAGGGACCAGAGTTGGAACCAGGGACCAGAGCTCGAACCAGGACCAGAGTTCGAACC